CTTGCCTTTTTCTTTTTACATTTTCACATTTTCATCATGGCAGACTAAAGGAGAGTTGAAATCCTCTGTGATACAGCTGGAAAAGGTATGTGGGTCGGAGGGAGGGGGGAGGAATTCAAAATTATTTGTAAGTAATTGTAATTTGTATTATTATAAGTAATTTGCGTGTGTGTGTGTTTTACCTGCCTCTGCTGGTGCGCGGGCTGGCACTTTATTTTTTATATTTTATTTTTTTAAGCTATGCCGCCACGCCGCACCATAGAGCGCGACACGCCGGCTTCCGGCCATACAGTGGGCCCCGCTGTATGATTCATTTCTTGTGGAGGAGGCATTCAGATGCTTGGCTTAACCCTCCCCCCTCCGCCACCACTGCCCCCCTCACCCAGCTATAGTGAGCGCATGCGCGCTTGGAGAGGCCAGCTCAGGGTGAGCCCTCCGATCCTTATGCGGTGGGGAGATGAACCCGCATCTTGTCCTACCCCCCTCCCCAAGTGGGTGCCCCCCTCCTCCTCTCCTTCAAAGGCAAGAGGCAGGTGGGTTTTTTTTTTCCGAAGTGGCTTGGCACAGCTGCCGGAGGACATGACATTTGACCTCCTGCCCCAGCGGTCCTCTTTGAAACTAGGGTGGCCGCACGGCACGGTGCGGAGCTCTTGGAAACGCGTGTCATTGAACTCTGGAGAAGGGCTCCTGGCTCTTGAGCAATCTGGCTCGGCTTTAGGACTGCCCAGGGAACTTTTCGACCCTGCCTAGATTGGAGGGATGGGGGGAGGAAAATATAGAGGTCCTGCTCGCTTGTCTCACCGGCCATGAACCTCACCACACGTCACTGTTTAAACTGGTGGTAACTGTGAAGCATCTGATGGTGGTGAACCATAACATCTACCCTGAACAAGTGAGACATCTGTAAACATCTGTCCAGAATCCCACAGGATATTGCTTGGCTTAGCAAAGGGTCCTCTTTTGGGAACTTGAAGGCCATTTGTTCTTTTCACAGAGGTTAAAAAAAAGTCAAGATAGGGTTGGTGACCTCCTGATTGAAGCCCCTTCCTCCCACCCCCACAGCTGGGGGAAACCCATAATACTGAAATCTAGTGGTCAGACATGGGCACCATCCTGACTTAATTGACCCCATCCCTGCAATGCTAACCTTCCAGGTAAGGCCTGCCCCCGTCCTCCTGGCCTTTCTCCAGGGGTCTCCAAACTTGGCAACTTTAAAACTTGTGGACTTCAACTCCCAGAGTTCCTCAAACAGCAAAGCTGGCTGGGGAAATCAAAGCTGGCTGGGGAATTCTGGGAGTTGAAGTCCACAACTCTTAAAGTTGCCAAGTTTGGACACCCCTGCTCCGGAGCTTGAAGGCTTGGTACTGGGGTCCAAATTGGGGGGAGGGTTTTCCCATGCTGGAGGTGGCTGCTGGATTGATGATAGACTCCATCTACCTTCACCCCTTTGTTCTCTGCTCACCATCTGTCCATCTTTTTGGTTATCATACTGATGTCTTCTTCTGTGTTTGTTTCCCTTTCTTTATTTTATATTTTTTATTTTATAGTGCTATTATTTGATCTCTATTCCGTTCACATTATGTTCCTTTCCCACATCTTATTGTTGTAATTCTGCATCCAGTTTTGGTTGCCACACTATAAAAAAAGACGTAGAGACTCTAGAAAGAGTGCAGAGAAGAGCAACCAGGATGATGAGGGNCTGCCAAAACAATATACTCCAAGAAGCCTTACGCAGGGAAATTCATAAAATGAGTCCGAGCAATGATTTCCAAGCCAGGGTGAGGGTGAAATGACAGACCTAACCATGCAGATATCTTCACTTTTTTTTTTTTTTTACTAAAGCCCACTTCAGACCAAATCTGGGTCACTGTAGCGGCATTTGTCCCCGAAGGAACACTATCGATCAAAGATGCTCCAATAAGGAAGATTACGCAATTGTCTTTATTCAAAGAGCAAAGTACAAAAACAAAACAAAACTGAGAGAACAACTGAAATGATAAAAAGTTCTACAGAAAACAAACGATGGTCCCATCAACCAAGGCAAGCCAAAGATCTACATTCAGGAGGAGGAACGTGCGCCCAGGTGTTTCACTTTCACACATACACACAGCCCAAGCCAGGACCGAATTGACTCCGCAAGGCAGAAGACATGAGGCCAAGCGCCCTGGAGAGCAGTGGTGCCCAACCTTTCCAGCTTTGCAAACTGGCTGGGGTGGGGAGAAATGGGTTCCAAGTGAGTGCCAGGCGTGGATGTGCGCACAGCTGCATGGTGGGCCCTTGTGTGTGTGCGTGAAGCTCACATCTATCGCACGAATGGTGCTTCATGTGCACGAGGCAGTGCCTGCCGTCCTCACAAATGGAGGTGCGTACAACGCACTCGCCTGCCACTTGAGTGACCTGATTCCTGGGGTGTTGGAAGCACGGGGAAGCTTCCTGCAGAAAATGAAGCAGGAAGAGTAGGGTAGGGATATCCAACCTTGGCAACGTGAAGACTTGTGGACTTCAACTCCCAGAATTCCTCAGCCAGCTGTCTGAGGAATTCTGAGAGTTGAAGTCCACAAGTTTTCACATTGCCAAGGTTGGCAATTTTGTTGGCTGAGGAACTCTGGGAATTGAAGTCCATAAGTCTTCAAGTTGCCAAGGTTGGAGACCTCTGCTCTAACACGTTCCCTTACAGCTTGGCCTCCTCCCTCCTGGCCTTGTATGCTATGTGGCTTCCAATGGAGAAATAGGCCACAATAGGCGTGGCTATTTTTTTCCCTGTTCAGCGCATTCTTCCTGCTATGCGCTTCCTTGGCCGACTTAAGAGTAGTGGAGACCAAGCTGAGTGAAGAGTCTCCTGCAGCCATCCTAAGGCTTTTGACTGTTATGGACAGCTCAGATGGGAATCTAGCAGCCCCCAAGAAGGATGGGGACCAAGCCTCTGGACATGACAAAAATACCAACATTGGCCAAGAAACTTCTTTTCATAATAAAATTTCTGAACATTCCAGTGTTCGCTGCAAACTACCATTTCATTCACGAGCGGAAAGCATCCTTTTAGAATGAAGATGCTGTAGACTCCTATACACTTAGGAAGCTGTCCTTAAATTAGCCTCCGAGTAATGGGTACTACTGGTCATTTCCCCACCCCCGTGCACAATAAGAGTGGATGTGTCACTCTATTAGGATATTTCTTATCCAATAAAAGGGTGCTGAGAACAGGTCTAGATTCAGCTTACCATTATATCCTGACAAGAGTTTAAATTTCTGTTGAGTTTCTGCGCAATTTGCTTTTTCTCCATTCTAGAGGTACATCAATGAAAGCCATTTTTTAGTGCCAATGTCTGTCCCATTAATCAATCAGAAGGAAGTTGAAGGACGGCAATATTTTGGCCACTCTGGATTTTTATTATATTCGCATCCTCTCTAGATTTCAGAGCTAGAGGATGCTTTCCGGAGGCATCGATTTCTCTTTGGTCCCTTCTGTATTATTCCCATGGGGGTCATTTTAGCATCCTTTTAGCTCTCCTGCCCAACACGGAAATATCAGCATAATATCCCCAAGTACAGAGGACTGGGCTGGTATAAAAGATTGTGCAAAGCAAATCTATTTGGATTGAAGGGAATTCTGCACATTTCTAATAAACTGGAGAAGCACTGGGGGATGGTGGGTGGGGTGATTGAAATACAAAAATGCACCAGTCATTTCTCACAGTGGCTCCAATTCAACATCCGCCAGCATTTTTCCCTCTTTTTATCAGGAATAGGAACGCTATGCAGAGCAGACCGAAAATACATCCAGATGGAAGACACAACTCCCTCGTTCGTCCCTGGTTCTCGAGATTCCCTGGAGACCTCCAGATGCCTTCCCAGATGAAGGGAAATGGGAGAAGGACTCAAGAGCTGCCCAGCCCATTTCTCATTCAGCCACACTGGTTCAAGGCATACCTCTTGTCCCCCTCTCATTGCAACTTCAAAGGCTAGCATTTCTCTTCGATGCACTGAAAAATAAATTCCTTGAAAAACCTTTTACCTTCTTCGGAGAAAAGGGGTTTCTCAGCTCCTCACTTAAAAAAAAATGCCAAGGCTAAGTCAACCTGCAGTCGTTTGACTGGACTCCCATTAAAGGCCTGGCACAGGGCCTTCACATCGGAAGGAGCAGCTATGTAGACCTCTGTTTACGGACGGGGGGGGGAGGTATTTTCACCCCCTTTTGCAGGGCTGAAGGCGTGAGGCCAAATTCCAAAATGCAGGCCTGTGCAACCGAGGAGGGATAGACGATCCACCCACCACGAATGGGCTGCAAAGGGGAATGCTCACAGAACAGGTGTCTGGGGTTGCACACATGTGGACTAATTGGGAGGTGAGGAGGGTGGAAATACACTCGCCAACAGAAACCTTGGAGCCAAAAAAAAGTTCACCCAGATTCTCCCAATGGTGACAACAGAGCACTTATGGGAAAGAAGGCAGCCGATATTGGAGCCCTTCTCTGTTGTATGCAATTTCATTTCCATATCCTTGTACGAGCTCCACCCTCTCAACATCCTAGAGATAACTAGGAAACAATGCAATTTTATATAACTGATGAGGATTTTACAATAAACAGATTTTGGTTGTTGTTTTTTTTAAAAAGGGAGAAAAAAAACCCAGTACTCTTGACTTCGCTGCCACTGGACAATGCTACCAGGAGCTTCGTGGATTCAGCTCCTCAACTATCACAAATGCAACAATTACAGTATAAAGATTTTTTTTCTATAATGGAAGTAAGAATTGATCACGGGAGAAAGGTTTTAAAATCAGCGTTTTTCGGTACCAAAAGTGAAGGAGGAGATTGGGGGGGAGGGGATCTCTTTTGTCAACCTTGGGCGAGCCCCTCATTCAACCGTCACAGATTTGGCCAGGTTTCTTGGAAAGTCAACCTAGAAGAATGAAAATGATATACACAACCTGTTAAAATCTTTGTCATAGTAGGAATTGAGGAGCCTTGACGGTTCCTTCACACCGGCTTAGCTCAGAAGTCACAAATATCTGCTTTTACATTTCCAGGAATTGGCTAGGTCTACTTAACCCCCCTGACATCACAGCCTGAAGTGAGCTGGGAAGGCATAGTGCAGTGTGTGTGTGTGTGTGTGTGTGTGTGTGTGTGTGTGTGTGTGTGTGTCAAATTCGATTTCATTGAGGGTTGCGCTTGATCTTTGGGGGGAGGGGGGCGTGACCGGCTCATGACTCGTGTTGGGGGTGCCTGTGGTGGCCCCTAGCACTCTGCCAGGAAAAACTGGCTCCTAAACTGTTTTCGCAACCCTCTGCCAGTGAAAATGGAGCTCAGGAGGGCCGTGAGCTCCATTTCCATTTTCACTGGTAGAGGGTTGCAGGAGGCTGCGGCAGCCAAAAACGGAGCTTAGGAGCTCATTTTTCCTGGCAGAAGCACCACGGGCCGGTCCTTTGATGTTTCCAGGACGGCCTTGTGGGCTGGATGTAAACGTCCCGTGGGGGCGAATGTGGCCCGCAGGCCTTCACTTTGACACCCCTGGAGTAGTGGTTCCCACGGGAAGCCCGATGCTGTATTATTGAGGGCTTTGGGGGCTAGTCGGAAAGAGAAAAGCTTTAGGGGATCGGGAGAGCGTAACTTACGTCGTAGCCTCGCAGAACAGCCAAATGGAATGCCAGCAGCTGTAAAGGAATCACGCTCAGGATGCCCTGCAGACAGTCGACCGAATGGGGGACTTTGATGGTTCGCTTGTTATTTTTGATGGTCTCGATATCTTCCTTATCACAAATCACAACAGGCCGCCCCTATGTTTTAAAAAAATTAAAAAACAGAGAAGTCTCCATCAATTCAATCTAAGCCTCAAAGACACACATGGGAGCCAATCTGTGAGAGTTGGACTCAGAAAAAAAATATCAAAATATTGTGTTTCCCCGAATATATGACCCGTCCTGAAACTGAAGCCTTGCCACATATTTCAGGTGGGCAAAAATATTGCCCCCACCCCCGAAAACAAGCCCCCAGGACAACACCCCCCCTCCGGCCAGGCAGAGCACCGCTCGCCGACCTAGCAGTATCCCGAAGGCGCCAAGCCATGGGAAAAAGGTGGGGAGCAAAGGCGCTCGCGTCAGCGGCACTGTGGCCAGCTGAAGGGGGGGGGGTGCCGGGCAGCTGCTTCCTTGTGACCAGGCTCCCAAAGATCTGGGCACAGCCTTAGGGTTGAATGGCTGTGTTGCGCTGTCGCAGCAACACAGCAGCCATGAGGTGACCACGCTTGCAAGCAAGCAGCCGCCTGGCAACCCCCCTTTCCAGCCAGGCAAAGCGCCGCTGACCGACCAGAAGCAGTACCCAGAAGGCACCAAGCAACGCTAGTGCCTGTTTGCCGCCCTCTGCCTCCCGCAGCTCGGCGCCTTCGGAATGCCCCTAGGTGAGTGAATGGGGCTCTGCATGGCTGGAGAGGGGGGTTGCGCGAGGGTCTTTTCCGCTCCCCACTCGCGCAACTTGCAGGCTCATGATGCCCTTGGCTAACTCTACAGTACCTGCAGAGCCAGGGCATCTCCGCTGCTTGCACCGCCCGCTGCTTGAGGGGTTTTTTTGTGGCTTTCAAAGCACGGAGGACCCAAGCAGTGGGTGGCACCACCAGCAGAGATGCCCTGCCTCTGCAGGTACTGTAGAGTTAGCCAAGGGCATTGTGAGCCTGCAAGTCGCGGGAGCGGGGAGCAGAAAAGACGCTCACNGAGACTCTAGAAAGAGTGCAGAGAAGAGCAACCAGGATGATGAGGGGACTGGAGGCTCAAATGTATGATGAACGGTTGCAGGAACTGGGCCTGGCTAGTCTAGTGAAGAGAAGGACCAGGGGAGACAGGAGAGCAGTCTTCCAATACTTGAGGGGCTTCCCTAGAGAGGAGAGAGTCAAGCTATTTTCCAAAGCCCCTGAAAACCAAACAAGGAATAATGGATGGAAACTGACCAAGGAGAGATTCAACCTAGAAACAAGGAGGAATTTCCTGAGGGTGAGAACCATCAACCCTTGGAACAGAAGTTGCCTTCGGAAGTTTTGGGAGCTTCATCCCTGGAAGCTTTCAAGAAGAGACTGGACTGCCATTGGTCAGAAATGGTGTGGGGTCTCCTGCTTGGGTGGGGGGTTGGACTAGATGTCATCCAAGGTCCCTTCCAACTCTGTTATTCTGCATTTGTAACTTCACTAGTATCAGCCCTTAATCCAGCCTAACCCATGGACTGAGGATGGAGTTGAGCCGCCACGGAGGGATGTAGTGGGGGGAGGGATATTGCAAAGACATGTTGGTAGCAAACTGAGAAAGGTCCTTCAAACTGATGTTTGGTCTGCTGGCACCTGTCAATAAACATGTGGGTTGTTTGGAACCCTTGCCAAGACAAACCCAAACTTCCTTTCTCATTGTGGGGTCTTCCAGATGTTTTGGCCTACAACTTCCGTTACCCCTCACTGTTTTCATTGGTCAGCACATCTGGGCACCAGGAAGCTGGAAAGGCTGTTCTGCTATCTTTCTTAACTTTAGCAGCAAAATCTATTTTTGGCTTTTAAAACAACGCAAAGACAGACCGTTGGGTAATAGGCTCCTAGAAGGTCATTTTGGAAATGGAATAAGAGATATAAAAGGGACCTTGCTTAAGCGGGAGACCCTCTACCCCTGATGGTGAACCTATGGCACGTATGCAGAGGTGGCACACAGAGACCATCCTGTTCCAGCTACTCTTTTGCTTTCCGGCCCTTACCTGCATGCTGGCCAGCTGGTCTTTGAGGGCGCTGGAGTGCTGGAAAATGGTCTGAAAACGGCCCCAAAACAGCCTGAAAACAGCCCGGAAAAAAGCCTGAAAATGGTTTGAAAAACAGCCAAAAATGGCCAAACAACAAGCATGTGCCAGCTGGTCTTCGGGTTTCAGGTGATCTGGCGCACGCATGCACGCACATGATGCACGTTTGGGTTGGGCACTCGGTGCCGAAAAAGTTCGCCATCATTGCCCTGTACCAGCAGCATTCCAGAGAAATGGTTGTCCAGTCTCTTGTTAAATGCCTCCAGTGATGGAGCACTCACAGCTCCTGCAGCAAAATACGTAAATAAATAAAATAATAAGTCTCACTATTCCAAGGCTGTGCTTTCTTTCCCACTGGACAAATCGCATCTATGCAGGCTATCAGTGGGCAGAAAAGTGCCCAGAGGAGGTGGCAAAACCTCTGAACCAAAATGCTTTTGTACATCTCCATTGTGGTGATGAAACACTGCTAGAAAAATATTTTCCTTATGAAGTAGAAAACAGGATATACAAGCCCAAATATAGCTATATACTCTGAATATTATGCTTTGCTAATTCACTGGGAGATCTCTTGAGTCGGGTTTTCATTTAGGAGGAAGGGAGGGAGAAAAACAGGGACAGTTTGCTTCAGAGGGTAAATAAAACCTGGGAAGAGTTATTTCCTTGTAAAAAGCCAACACGAACTCCAAAACAATGTCTGATTTGTCTGATAACCAATAAGGTTGTGGCTGAATAAACAATGATATAAGCCAAAAGATTTTTATTTTATAATGTCAATGGAACTCTTCACAATAATTTCTTTCTATCCAAGGATTAAAAGTTCCAATAGATTAATGTTGATGTCCACATTTTCTCTCTTTCTCTCTTTTAGGAGGAAGACGATGATGGACTTCCCAAGAAGAAGTGGCCCACGGTGGATGCTTCCTATTATGGTGGGCGTGGAGTTGGGGGCATTAAGCGGATGGAGGTAGGGTGCAGTAGTGGATGCAGAAAGATGAGAGGGGGTGGGGATGAGAGAGCGGGGAGGAACATTGCAATTCACTAGCAAAATTGGAAGAGTTCTGGGGATCATCTCCAAGTCTTGAGGTTGTAAACTCAAGGTTTGTCACTGGCCTTTTGCTCCAAAGTCTCCAATGTAGTCCTTCCGTTTGTGAACCTGATGAGATCCAAGAGTCTCACCAAAATCCCAATCCCAAAATCCCCATCCCCAAGCAAAATTCCACATGAAGTTGCCCATCGCCACGTCTCCTTAGACAGGTCTGGGTGGAGTCATGGGAGAAGAACTTGAGATCACGCAGATGGAAATGTTTCTCTTTCAGGTCCGTTGGGGAGAAAAAGGATCGACCGAAGAAGGGGCGAAGCTGGAGAAGGCCAAGAACGCCCGCGTCAAGATGCCAGAGCAAGAGTACGAATTCCCAGAGCCAAGGAGTCTCGGAAGCGGCATACGCAGGTCCTCCTCGCCCCATAAGTGGTATTCTCCTATCAAGGTAGGTTTCTTTGCTGCTGGGTTTATTACGATCATAATAAAGATTTCGTCCATATTGAGACATCACCAGATAAATGTTGTCTAAAAGAAGCGTGCATGAGTTCATCTTCACTTATATATACACATACATACATACATACATACATACATACATACATACATACATACATACATGGAATTCTTCATAATTAGGAACAATTTAATACAGAGCTCTCCAACCTTGGCAACTTTAAGCCTGGAGGACTTCAACTCCCAGAACTCAAAGCTGGCTGGGGAATTCTGGGAGTTGAAGTCCGCCAGGCTTAAAGTTGCCATGTTTGGAGAGCCCTGATTTAATACAGAGCATTATGGAATTCATCCACAATGACTTCAGAGCTTTCCTTGTACCAGTTTTCTTCCCCTGGCTAAACTCTCTTTCTTGATACCGTGCTGATAATGAAGAAGAAGAAAGGAAAAATACGGGAGGGTGATTGGAGAGGAAGGAGTTAAGCCCTATCCTCCCGCTTTTTGAGTCCTCTGCCTCCCCGCCCCTCAAATTTATAAAACAAACTTAGATTTGGAATCCTTGTCTGCTCATAACATCTCCTAGGGAAGGATTACCTGGAACCCTGCCTGTTTCCAGCCTTAAACAGAATTTAAAATATGAGACAAAAGTACAACAGTTTTATTTGCTTCCATTTCTCAGTGTGCTGAGCCAAATTCCTAGCTAGGTTTGACAGTCTGAATAGAGCTAGCCAAAGAGAGAAAGGCAGGAGGCTCTTTGGCTTTTCTGTTTAATCAGATCGACATTTGATTTAATCTTTTTGGTGCCATATGGAAAACAATTCCCCCCCCCCCCAAAAAAAAAGAAAGAAAAACAGCATGGAAACAAGCAAGGCTTAAATGTGCACTGTTGTTGCATATAAAAATAGCTCTCTCTCAATGCACAATGACTATGAATTTGGCACAAAGTAGACCATTCCACCTTATTATAAGAGCTGTGTGGCACAGTGGTTAGAGTGCAGTACTACAGGCTGCTTCTGCTGCCTGCTGCCTGCCTGTAATTTGGCAGTTCAAATCTCACCAGGCTTAAGGTTGACTCAGCTTTCCATCCTTCCGAGGTGGGTCAAATGAGGACCCAGACGGTTGGGGGCAAAAGGCTGACTCTGTAAACCGCTGAGAGAGGGCTGTAAAGCACTGTGAAGCGGTATATAAGTCTAAGTGCTATTGCTATTCCTTCCTTGTTTCCTTATTCCCTTTCTCCTTCATCTTCCTGGTACCTCAGTGCTTAGAATGTAGTATTGCAGTGCTTAGAATGTAACTCTGCCCACTTCCAGGAGTTCAATTCTTGACTCAGCCTTCCGTCTTTCTGAGGTGGGTAAAATGAGGACCCAGATTGTTGGGGGCAAGAGGCTGACTCTGTAAACCTCTTGGAAAGGGCTGGAAAGCTCTGGAAAGCAATATATAAGTCTAAGGGCTATTGCTATTGTTTCTGGACCCATCCAAGGATTGACTTGTCTCCAGATTCCCCTAGCTGATGCTGAAGGC